TCTATTTATATTGAGTATTCAAACCTATATAAATTAAAAAATATATTTTAATAAGGGATTTACATGAAATTTGTTTATTTTAATTTAAAAGTGCAGTACCGAATCAATCTAGAGTCACCACTATTACGTCACGAGATCACGTGACATGCCTAACAAAATCGCAAAAGTAAGCAATCCTGTATGTCCATAATCGTTGACCTTTGACCCCGAGTAATTGTAACATACTGTAATAAACTAGCAGTTTAGAAAACCTGATTGAAATTGAAAACTCACCTGTAATTAAGGTAAGGGCACATAAGCAGGAAAAGGCGGAGATATCAATATCCATCGCGTGCAGTCCAGTGCAGAACTCCATGATACCATTCATCCAGTCACCAAACGATCTCTGACACTGCTGCATATCCAAGACAACTCCGTTACAGAAAGTCAACTTGGTGTCATTAGGATGGGTCCGATAGGATAACCTCAGCACGAATAATTCTAACGAGGCAGATTGGAAAAGTAGGTCTCTATCTTCGGGAAGCAGGTCCAGGAATCCAGGTATTTTGTCAGCAAAGTTCCTGACAACATCAACTGACGTTGTTAGTAAGGTATAAAACTGTTGAATTTTTTCTGCTTCCGAAATGGCTGGCTCCACCGAAGATGGTTCTAGATATTGCGAGTAATCCAAATTGGAGAGATCTGGTGTCGTATCTACATACGCTCTCACCAACGCAGTTATTAGAGAAACTGGCGGACTGGGAGGGGATTCTTGCGGCGATTTGGGTTTGGACGGCAGTCGTCCCCGTCTCCCTTTGAGGGAATCCGTTCGAACCACTTCTTTAACCATACCCACTGCCAGACACTTTTGAAATCTACAGAACTGGCAACGGTTCCTCCGCCGTTTATCTACAGGGCAAGCTTTGTCAGCTAAACAAACGTACTTGGATCCTTTCTGAACAGTTCTTTTGAAGAATCCTTTGCACCCCTCACAGGTCCTCACTCCGTAATGTTGACAGGCTGCTGTATCACCGCACACGGCACAAAGTTGCGAAGGCGACGATGGCGTTTTTGAACTACTCGCCTGCTGTTCCGCTGCGCCACCTGGACTGCTAGCTGCCGAAGAACACGCCGACAGCGCTGGGCCAATCCTCAGCTTGGGACTCTCACTACTGCTCGTGCTTTCCGATCTCTGTAGTGGTAGCGAAGCTCGTCTTTGTTTCGCAGTGCTCACATTCAAATCTGCAGTTGCAGACTTATAGGAGGAAAGAGAGAACGGTTCTTGAGATAGAGTGGTATCAAAGCTGGTTGGCATGCAGCTCTGAGGAGGAGGGTAGTACGGGTTGGCAGCCGGCGTGTATGGTATTCGTTGACACTCATAGTGATGGGAAGTGGAGGGCGAGTGGTGATAGGAAATATTGAAACTCTCCTCGTCCATCTTGAACGGTGGCTGGTAACGAACTGAATATGTCTCTTGAAAACTAGGTAATGGTACTGGCGAAGGAGACTGTGAATGTAGGGCAACGTCTACGAAAGGGTTGAGTTCCTCAGAGGGTAGAACGGCACTTGAATCATCTGCGAACGGTGCATTCAGCAGATCGGCAAAACTGCTTGAACCAAACGAGGCCTGAAACAAATTGACACTTCAGACGTCCATCCATAAATAGGCCGCTCACTCGATCAAGATCGATTGATGGCTAATTATAAATCAGGAAGTTATCGTGGATAGCTGAACACACTGGATGATCAGTTATGGAGTTCGATCATCTTGCTCAAGGAGGTGGATTATGCAAAGTTTTTTTCATTTGATGAAAAATCAGATAGTCGAGTGTAACTAGATGACAACACGATTTGATCTATTTACAATCACTCATATGGACTTTCTTGAAATAATGTAAGTTGATTGTAGGGTGTACATAATGTGAGAGTGAAAACTTAGTTTTATTCCTTGTTACTTGAGCAGTGGAAAGTGAAAATGCTGAACCTAGGAAATGAAAATGTGTAGTGAAAAATTAAAAGACCGTTTTGACCTACAAAAAAGTTATGCTAACCTTATACCCATTTACAACCAAAAAAATAGAGCATACCTGGTGATTCTTTAATGTATTTTTACTTATTTCGATCGAGAATGACATTATCAATCGAAATAAGTAAGAATATATAGGATGTCCCATTTAGAAATCGAAAGTTGGGGTCGTTTCCGGTCAAACCGGAAATATGGCAAAGCAAGTAAATATGTCAAAAAATGTAAATTGAAATAGAATACACAACCCCCAAATTTCATTTTTTCATCTCCAATAATAAAAAAGTTATAGGGGTGAGCCACCGTATATAATCACCCGGTATAATAATTCAGTCAACAAAAATATTGCTATCAGGAAAAAATTTTCAACTGTGAGAATCAGTTGAAAGTTGGCTGGTCATTTCTGAATCGAAAAATAAACAGAAAAAATATGCTTACCTAAGGTATGAGATACCTTCAATTTTTAGTGACTTTTTTAATAATTTTACAAAACATTTGATTGGTCAAATACCTAACTCAAAAGTATATACAGAGTGTTTCATAGCTAAGGTACGAAACTTCAGAGGGTGATTCGTTAGATCGTTTTAAGAAAAAAAGTTCCAATGAACATACAGTGTCACCATTAAAGTGCGCACCATATGGGAAACTTTTTTTTCGAAAAGTTTCAATGAAGTTTAACTTCGGCACTTGTTTGTGCTTTAAATTTAACTTGAAATGATGCGGCCAACTGCGACCCACTGACGTTCA